CCTCAGCCTCCTGAGAAGCTGGGATTACAGGCATGTGCCACCACACCCAGCTAATTTTTGTATTTTTAGTAGAATTGGGGTTTCACTATGATGACCAGGCTGATCTTGAACTCCTGACCTCGTGATCCACCTGCCTGGGCCTCCCAAAGTGCTGGGATTACAGGCATGAGTCACCGCGCCTGGCCCCCTGTAAGACTTTTTAATGTTTAATATGAGCCTGAGTTAGGACATGGAACATGGGGAAGGGTGCAGCATGGAGAGCATAATTTTCAAATTCCTAGACCACTCTCGTCAGAGTAATTATAAAGATTAATACAGCAAGGTCTCTCTATTGAAGAATAAAATAGTCTCCATAAAATATAAAATTAATGTAAAGTGTATAAATAATGAAATATTGGGGTTCCAGGTTTATCTTCTGATAGCATAAAACATTTGGGCTAACATTAAACTCCAAAGACCTAATCAAATAGATATCTAAGTAACTAAGATATTGTAAGTAATTTCAGCACTGTAGCACTGTATTTGCCAGAAGATACAGTCAATTCTTTCACCATGCCAAGATATCATTTAGTCTATAACTTAAACAAGCATTGATAAAGTTTTTTGCAAAAGATGCTATCAGCAAAATAAACAGAGGACTTTGTATTATTTCAAAGGTTATTTATAATGTGTTTAGAAAAAATTCAATGGAAACAGGAAAATAATGTCTTGATTTTCTAAACTTGACAACATCTGCTTTTACTTACTTTTCAACATTGTAAAGTTCTCTGGATTTTAAGTGAATTACTTTGCTTTCTCTTTGTCTATCCCTTTAGTTGACAATCTTCCCACTAGATCGTACACCTGGGCATAATCTATGACCACCTGAAAATCTCTATGTTATATATAACAGCTGAATTTTAGAACATGTAATATAGAAATGGAAAGATACCTCAAAAGAAAGGCAAGGTGTATATGGAGCAGACCCCTCTATAAAAATACTCAAAACATTGTATCATTCTATTTCATATCATCCTACACTGGATAATCTGCATGCCATTTGAAATCTTAGATGGGTAGTAGTAAAAATATTTGCTAAAGAAAAACACTTTTACATATGTGTGTACACATGGGTATGTTTGTGTGTTTTGTTCAAATTCAAATAAGAATATTAATATAATGATCAGTAAATCCCTACAATATAATGGGCAGATTTTGGCTTAGTCTTTAACCAAAAACAAAACAAAAGGCACTAAAATCTGCTGGTAACAATATTCTTAATATTAATCCATTCAGTGGGGCTTTTGCTTTCCTTCTTTCCAAATTAAAAGGACTTAAATCTATAGACATTTTAGAAATATTTTTTAAATTTTTAAATGAAACATATTTCTCTATGCTCAGTGGGAGTTATACATGACACAATGACATCTACCTACTTTGTAAAGGGGCATGTAAGTCCCTCATTCCTTGACCCTTTTTTTTGTCTGACCAAACATTCCATTTGTTTCACTTAAAATAAGTTACTTTGGAAAAATACAACCATTCCTACTGCTACATTTTCTAATTTCTTAAAATTTGAGATTGAATTTTACATAAATTAGAGAAAGTGGGTTAAAAAAAAGAAAGATGACATATTGATCATCATTCAAGCACAATTTTATCCAGGACTTTCTTGGAAACTTTGTTGAGATGCTTTAAACATTAGTTGGTGGCTTCTTACGAAGCTGGTTTAAAGCCTGTGGGTTATTTGTGGTTAATATTCAAGAGGAAAAAAAGAAAAATACAGAGAAAATGGCCTTTAAGGCACACACTCCTGAGGTTTCACTGCTGGGTTAGCTGACATTCTTTCCTTCACTTCCCTAGTTGAGCTGACCTCAAAGCTCTTGGTGTCCAAGACTTCCAAAAGAATGCAAACCACATTATCATCCCCAGAGGGGAAAACAGAAACAAACTTGGATGATATATCAGGATAAGGAATAAGTCCACAAAGTGTTCAAGAAGAAAGGAGAGTTCTACTGCAATCACACCAAAAATCAAGGTTTTGTGGACATGGATTTGTCCACATGAAAAAGAAGAGTGGTTTTGCTATTCAGTCAAAAGTCCTTCATAAGCAGTTAAAAAAAGAGCAAACTGGGAGCCATTATTCTTAGTTTATGCCGCACACCTGTGAAATCAAGATGTGAGACAGAATACAAAGATCCCTATCTTTAAAGGATTCTGAAAATGGAAAGATACTGGAAGGCAGTGGTATGAAGGGGGAAAAGAAGCAAGGGCATTCTCTGGCCATCATCAAATGTTGGCAACACTGCTTTTATGGTTGCTTTGATTATGCATTATGTTCATACAGTTTTAGCTATGAATAATTTGTTGCTTTGGCTTTTATTTTCCTTTTTTTTTCATCGCATGTTTTTAAATGGTTTGCATTGGAGAATCAATTTAACCACAACAGAACAGACTGTGATTTGGAATTTGTATGACCTCATTTGAGGTAAAAGTAAGCTAGAAATCAGTTCTAGGAAAGAAAGGAAAAAACCCAGGCTCACAAGCCTTTCTCTTTTCCTTAAAAAATGTTTTTAAAGATGTTTTCACCTGATGGTTTCTTTAAATCATCACTTCAGAATGTTAATGTTTTAAATGTTAGTGCTCCTCTGAGGGACCCATCATATAGCCTTCTGTTGTTTTCATTCTACATACTTGCAGAACTTTAATTCGAATCCATGTACAACTGGTCACTCTCACATTTTTATGGTCAATCCAGATCTGCAGATTTTTGGAACCACTTATCTAACTGCCTAGTGAACAACAGCCTACCTGGTATTCCACACATCCTCCAATATTCAGAACTGAACTCATTACCTTTTACCCGACCTTTGAACCCCTGCCCCCCCCCGCCCCGGCAGGGTTTTCCCTAATGCTCTTTTTCTTTGGTGTCTAGCCATGTACCTCAAATCACTAATCTAGGGATCTCTCTGACTCCTCTGTCTCAATTTATGAATAACCAAGTTCTGTCAATCTGCCTCCTCATTATCACTTCAACTTTTCTCCTATCCAATCCATGTTTCCTCCACACAACCCTTGAACTTACCTTTGTTTGGACTGATCATCATAAAACACAAATCTGATCATGATGCTCCAGGTTAAAACTCTTCGGTAATGTCTTATTATCTTTATAATCCAGTATACCTTAACATGCCCTAAAAGATTCTTACTATCTAGCCTGTGCTTCCTGCTCAAGGTTTCGCTTGCTCTTCCAGTCACACTGAGCATCCTTCAGTCCCTGGAACCTGCCAAACATTCATTTGAAACATGCCATTCTCACTGCCTATCCCCAATCCAAATGTCACTTTCTTAGTGCCATGGTCTGAAGGTGTGTGTCCCCACCAATTCACAGGTTGACGTCTAATCACCAAGGTAATTGTATTAGGATGTGGGGCTTGTGGTAGGGAATTATGTCACAAGGGTGGGGCCTCATGAATGGAATTAGTGCCCTTATAGAAGAGGTCCCAGAGAGTTGTTTTGTCCCTTCTACTCTACGAAGACCCAGCTAGAAGCTGCCATCTGTTAACCAGAAAGAAGGCCCATACCAGACACCAAAACTGTCAGTGATCTTGGATTTCCCAGCCTACAGAACTTAGAAGTACATTTTTGTTGTTTATAAACTACCAGGTTCACTGTATTTTGTTACAGCAGACCAAACAGACTAAACTAGAGATATCTTTCTTCACTCTAAGTAAGATCAGGTCCCTGGCAATGCTCAAAAAACCCTAACTTCTAGTGTAGCAGTCATCATATACTGTTGTAATTGTGCTCGGTGTCCCTGAGGGCACAGACTACTTTTGTCTTATTAACTACTCAGGGCCAGGCGCAGTGGCTTATGCTTGTGATCCCAGAATTTTTTGAGGCTGAGGCTGGCAGATAGCTTGACCTCAGGAATTCAAAACCAGCCTGGGCAATATGGTAAGACCCCATCTCTACAAAAAGATACAAAAAAATTTTTTTTATCCAGGCATGGTGGTGTGCACCTGTGCTCCCTGCTACTTGGGAGGTTGAGATGGGAGGATCACCTGAGCCCAGGAGGTCAAGACTGCGGTGAGCCATGATCATTCCACTGTACTTCAGCCTGGGTGACAGAGCAAGATCCTGCCTCAAAAACAAACAAACAAACAAACAAAAAACTACTACTTAGCACCAAGTACTTGGTAGGTATTTAATAAATATTAATTGAACAAACTAATGTATTTATTTATATATTTCTTCCTTCACTAGCATGATAGGGCACATGATCTGCTGTATACTTAGAAGTCACTGGCTCATTCACCACAGAGGAAATATGAGCCATTCCAGAAAGAATTAAGATTCAGCATGCTCCATAATTAAGATATCTCATAGAAGTTATGACATCATTTGCCCTGAATTCTTCCAAGATAATTGGAAGGATAGTAGCAGGGTCAACTTTCAGGCCCAAATATACAGTTATCTTTGGCTAATCCAAAAGTTGTAGGTAGAATGAATACATTAATTGTTAAATGGTTATCAACTATCTCTATCTATTCTCCTTAATCCTGTCAACTAGTTTGGAGAGAGGTAGGGGGATAGTCAAGATGCTATTAATCTGGAAGAATATTCTACCCAGCCCCTGAATCTAATTTTAAGGGGAGTTACTACCAATGACATTATAAGACCCTGATCATGATGCCTGTAAAGTGCTTGTGTGAACTCTTTTCAACTTTATTTGGGAACAAGAGAAAAACTGTAGGTTAATACAGGCATTACAATGTTACCTAAGTTAGAAGAGTTTTTAAATGGCCTATTTAATTATCTCTAATACTTGGGTATGTCTCCTCTAATGTTAGATGTAATATCATTTATAACTTCTTGAGAGAGTTGTAATTGAAAAGACGCATTGTTAGTGACACATCATGGAAAATGACTCAACTGTGGCAAAGGCGAATCTCAAGACATGATCCAAACGCATACCACCTACATGGCCTGACTTCATGACCAGCATTCAATATACTTACAATAATTTGCTTCTTGCTTCTGCCTGTCAGAATGTGGCTGTCGCCAAGTGAACCCGGTCTCCCAAGACTGTTACATCAAACAGAAATTTCTGATTGGTTAATTTATAATTAAGGCCCACAAAGACAGAACTACTACGTTATTAAGCCAAAAACCATTTTTGGCTTAACAGTTTTGTTGCTTTATGTTGCTTACAGTGATAAAATACAGTAACAAGTAGGAATTGAAATATTTTGAATCTTCTCTTTTATTCTGCACTTCAACTACCGAATCTTCAAATGCTAGCCTAGAAATTATTAAGATGCTGCAGTAAAGAGAAAACCATGTAAAAGAATTAAGTCAACTCTGAATAAACATAAAGGCTCAGCAAGAACTATCAATATTCAATTACCACACCAGAATCTCTTCATTACCTAAGTGGTCTTAGTAACAAACTAGGAAACTATAACAAATATAGCAAGTTCTGCCACATTGCTAGAAAACTGCATGACCATATATAGATACTGGTAAAAAAAGAAAATGTGGTACATATACACCATGGAATACTACACAGTCATAACAAAGGAATGAAATCATGTCCTTTGCAGCAACATGGATGGGGCTAGAGGTTGTAATCCTAAGCAAATTAACACAGGAACAGAAAACCAAATGCAGCATGTTCTCAATTATAAGAACTGAGCACACATAGACAGAAATATAAGAACAATAGTCACTCTGGACTATTAGAGGGTAGGGGGAGTGGCTTTAATAAAAAAACTATCCATAAGGCACTGTGCTCAGTACCTGGGTGACAGGATGACAGGATCCGTACTCTAAACCTCAATATCATACGATATTCCCATGTAATGAATCTGCACATGTATATCCTGTATCTAAAATAAAAGCTGAAATGTTTTAAAAATATAAAAAAGAATATTAAGCATTTGCCACAATACAAAGCATTTTTAAAAAGAAAGAGTGGGATTCACAGGGACACCACCTATTTCTCCCTCTGTCTTCTTAAAACTTTAGTCCTCAGAAATGAAAGTGAGTGATAATACCCATCTAACATGATGGTTATGAAGAATGAATGAATTAGAATATGTAAATCTCTTAGCACACAGTAGAGTGCCTAGCCCATAGCAAATATTCAAAAAAATGTTAGTTCCTTTCCTTCTTCTTTTTCCTTACCCATCCTGAAGTACCTATTTTACCATGTGGAAATCAGATGGCCACTAGACAAAAGAGAAATCATTCAGATCTAATATTAGCACATCCTTTTCTGTAGGCCTCTCTTCACAGTAGTTTGGTCTACTATTTTTCCCATAGAAATTAGGATTTTTTTAAAGAGTTTCCTCAGTAATATTAAAAAAGGATATTTTGAACTTCGTGTTCAACACCAGTATAATTCAGTAAAGCAACCTAAGTAAACCTAATTTTTGCAATAGATACTTCTACAACTACCACACCTCTATCTGAACATATCACTAGTATTGTTGCCTAAAGTTCATTCCACATTCATACACCAGGAAGCTCTCAACTGTAACTGCCTCATCAATTTCAAGTTTAATTCTATCCTAACTGACTTAATAAATCAAATTGTTCACAACTGAGAGGCAGGAATTTTGTGTGCTCCGGTTTATGCTGAATGTAGGCTCTGAGAATAAAAGAGGTATAATGGGATGAAAAGCAATTATTTCTCTCCACACAGTTAAGTGACTTCACCAATTGTTTTTTCATTAAGTGAATTCATTAAGTGAATTCACCAATTGCTTTTTCAGTCAACAAGTATTCACAGCCCATTATTTTCCAGGTATTGATACACTATTCTAGGTATGTAGCTGCAGCTACATAATTTTAGGGTTGATTTACAATGCAGTATCTGAAACATGTTTATAGTTTTACCTGATAATTATTACTCACCATGATTCTTCTTTTTAACTACAATAACAATAACACATGTTCAGTGATTACAGTAATGCCAAATACAGAGGCAACTGTTTTATCATATTTACTCTTCATAACATTTATATAACACAGGGATTATAATCCCCATTTTACCAGATGAGGAAAAGAGATGTGGAAAGGATATTTAACTTGCCTAAGGCCACCCAGTTAGTAAACACGAAAGCTGAAATTTAAATGAAGTCTGTCTAACTCTAGAGTGTCTAACTCTTAAGTCTAAACCAGTGCTACTCAAAGTCTGGTCCCCCCATAGACTGGAAGCATCAGGGGCACTTGGGAGCTTGTTAAAAATGCAGAACTTGCTGAATCGTACTTTTAGAGAGTGGGACCCAGCCATCTATGTTTAACCAAGCCTCCATGTGCCTCTCACACATGCTGAAGATTGATAAGCACTACTCTAACCCACTACACTATACATACTACTCAGTCTCCCTAATTCATAACTTATTAATGGTGTTAAGTCAGCTGATTGCTCACTTGCATTTAAGAAATGCATTTAGCCATTATCACAGTTGACCTTTTTGGTTAAATTCTATGGGTAGTTAAAATTCAGCTCTGTACCATATCCTTTAAGCACGGTGACCATTCATCCTAATCTTCCTGGGACAGTTCCATTAAGCTTGTTGTCATGACATAATTATTAAAACTGGTCTCTTTCACTCTCAGAAGTGCCACAGTTTGAACCATTAATCCTGTGGTTGTCCTAGATAAAAGGCACTACTATAAAGGCAGTCCTTCCCACTTTACGTCCTACCATGCACCCTCACCTCTATGCTCTAGCTACAATAATGGCCTTATCTCAATACCTTAAAAATCTCAAACTTGCTTGTGATATAAGGTTTTGGCATTTCTGTTCTTTCTTCTTAGGAGGCTCTTTCTCTAGATCTCAGATGATATAATCCTCCTTAATAGTACACAAGGGTAAGCTGGTGATAGGAGCAGTTGGTCCTGCATATAGGAAATTTGGAGATGTACTGTTGATGGAGAACTTTAAAACAATAACAAAACCAGCTTAAAGTCAGTTCAGTCTACTTTTCATTTATCGCTATGCACCAGCAATTTTAAATGTCAATGATAAAATGCTGTTTCTACCAAAATATGTTATTTGTCCTTCAATAAACACTATATTCTACATGAAAGCTAATTCAGAGAGCCCTAGTTATATAGTTGGCTTCCAATATACACAGTCATAAATGCTTGAACGCAATTCAAGAGTAAGTTCCCAATAGATTCAGAATAGTTATAGATCACTTTGGGTACAGTTTGTGTCTCCAACTCCTGAGTTACTATATACTCAATAGATTACATAAAAAAAAAAGATTCAAATTCCTACACAAACAATAGATTCAAAATTGTATAATACTGGCATAAGGGCAGTCATATAGGTCAGGATAGAATTGAGAGTCCAGAAACAAACCCCGACATTTATAATTGACTGATTTACAGTGAAGGTGCCAAAATAACTCAATGAGGAAAAAACAAGTCTTTTCAAAACATGATGCTGGCACAAGTGCATATTCAACCCAAAAGAATGAAGTTGGACCCTTATCTCACACCAACTCAAAATGGACCTAAGACCTACATTAAGAGTGAAAACCATGAACTTTCTGGAAAAAAAAATATGTATAAATCTTTATGACCTTGAATTAGGCCATGTTTTCTTAGATATGACAACAGCAAAACAATAAAAGAATAAAAATTGGACTTTATCAAGGTCAAAACTTTTGTGCTGTCCATCAAGAAAATGAAAAGACTATACAATGTGAGAAAATATTTGTAAATCATGTATCTGGTGCAAAAACTTGTATCTAGAATATATAATGAACCATTGGCTGGGTATGGTGGCTCACGCCTGTAATCTAAGCACTTTGGGAAAGCCAAGGCGGGTGGATTACTTGAAGTCAGGAGTTCAAGACCAGCCTGGTCAATATTGTAAAATCTCATCTCTACTAAAAATACAAAAATTAGCGGGGTGTGGTGGTGCATGCCTGTAAGTCCTCGCTACTCAGGAGGCTAAGGCAAGTGGATCACTTGAACCCAGGAGGTGGAGGTTGCAGTGAGCCAAGATCATGCCACTGCACTCCAGCCTGGAAGACAGAGCAAGACTCCATCTCAAAAAAACAAAGAATACATAATGAACCCTTACAACTCAATAATAAAAAGACAAATAATGCAATTTAAGATGTGAAAAGAAGATATATAAATGGGCAATAAGAAAACAAAAAGATTCTAAACATCACTGACCATCAGGGAAACACAAGCCAAAATCACAATAAACTACCATGTCATACCCAATAGGATAGACAGAATTAAAAAGTCAGATGTTAAGTGTTGGCAAGGACATGGAGAAGGTGGAGCCCTCATACACTGCTGTTGGGAATAAAATGATGCAACCATTTTGGAAAACATTCTGGCAGTTCCCGAAAAGGTTAAACATAGAGTTACTGTATGACCCAGCAATTCCACACTCCTAGGTATATACTTAAAAAGTGAAAACACATGTCCAATCAAAAATGTACTCATGAATGTTCATAGCAGCATTATTCATAGTGGTCAAAAAATGGAAACAACCCAAATGTCCAACAATTGATAAATGGATAAATAAAATATGTTATATTCATATAATATGTTATTCAACAATAAAAAGAAATGAACTGATACATGCTACAATGTAGATGAACATTGAAAACATTATGCTAAGTGAAAGAAGCCAGACACAAATAAACACACATTGTCTTATTCCACTTACGTGAAGTATCCAAAATTAGCAAATCTATTGACACAGAAAGTAGATTAGTGATTTTCTAGGGCTGAGGTAGGAAAGGATGATATGGTGGAAGTGGAGTGATGACTAAAGGGTATTGGTTTCTTTGGGGGCTGATGAAAATGTTCTAAAATTCATTACAACAGTAATTGTACAACTCTATGAATATACTAAAAACCAATTAATTGCGCACTTTAATAGTGAATTGAATGGTACAGGAATAAATGCCATGTGTATTTCAATAAAGTTGTTCTAAAAAAAGATTTTAAATGGTAAAACAGTACAAGCTGCAAGCTATAAAGGTATATTTTTCTTTTTATTAAACAAATACAATGATACAATTTAAAAGCGCTAATCTATTCCTTTTTCCTTTATTGTACTGTAATGTTTATTTTTATCTTTTACATCAGTTTTGTAACTGGCATGATAATACACATGAGGTTAATAAGTTCTTTTTTCATTGTCTGTTTTTTATTTTTTTACAGGGATTTATCATTCTTCTCCTTGCACGATTATTACTAAAAATAACTGTGTCTGAAGAGGAGGGGGGTGTTAAAAATGATTTACCCTATATGTCAAATATACAAGAAATGCCACTGTTGCTCTTTATTATTTAGATTTTTGCTCAAATAGCGGCATCTCAGAGAAGGCTTCCCTAACTCCTCTATTTAAAACAGACAACACTCCACGCTCATGGGATGACATCAGTTTTTATCCCATTCCCCAGCTTTATTTTCTCCAACTCTATGATTATCTGACATTATATTATTTGTTTATTTCTGTATGCTTCATTAGAATGTTAATTTATTAAGGAGTTGTCTGTCTTGCTTACCCCTGTATCTTCAATGCACAGTAAACATTCTATCAATATTTAGTGAACAAACACTAAAATATACATATATCGGCTCAATTTATTCAGATAATTTTATCTTTATGCACAATTTCTGTTTTTCTCATCAGTTAGATGAACACATTGATTCTCAATCCTCTCAGCATAGTATTTCCTGTATGGACATTGTATTCTGCTAGAAACTTCAAAGATGTCAGAATAATCAAAATCCCTTTGTCTAGGAGTTTGAAATTTTAAAAAAGTATGACATTTTATACTCTTGCATTATCTTCAACAAGCATTATGAGCTGTAATTCACTTGACTAAAGTTTAGCTTATCCCAGAATTAATTATTCCAGTCTAGTGATAAAACCAGCCTCATTTATTTAACCTAAATATTGCTGGACTTTGTTAAGTAGACTTCAAAACGCTTCTGAAAACTTGACAAATTTTTGTAGAAACTACTTTGGGGGGCCTGGATTTTTTTATTATTGTTGCTTTATCTCCTTTTAAAAATAATAATTGCATTTTTAAAACAAAGTACAACTCTGTTATAATATGGTTCAATACTATAACTGTTTGGCTAGGCCGCAGGTCAAATCCCATTCCCTCCACAGTGTGACAATCACACAAGGTACAAACTTGACCACACTGCTAGCCTACAACTCCTTTGTTAGTCCTGTGTTAGGATATGGAAGTTAAGATAAAAGGATATTACTCTGGGTATAGGTATGGTTATGTAATGTTCATTTTAGGTCTTCTCAACACAATGAAATATTCTGTCTTCTGAATAATAAATTGATTAAATTTAGGTGTTTGTATATGGAACCTCAACTACTTAACCAAACTAAAGACTGCATTGTAGAGCCCTGAATCTGCAGGTAGAATGCCTATATTCACATCTCCAGTGTACCACTTACTAGCTGCATGACACTGGCCAAGTTAGTTATTCTCTTTTTTCCATTTATTTATTTTATTGCATTTTAGGTATTGGGGGTACATGTGAAGAACATGCAAGATTGTTGCATAGGTACACATGTGGCAGTGTGGTTTGCTGCCTTCCTCCCCATCACCTACATCTGGCATCTCTCCCCTTGCTATCTCTCCCCTACTCCCCACCTATTTCCCCCCAACTGACCCCAGTGTGTAGTGCTCCCCTCCCTGTGTCCATGTGTTCTCATTGTTCAACACCCACCTATGAGTGAGAACATGCGGTGTTTGATCTTCTGCTCTTCTGTCAGTTTGCTGAGAATGGTGGTTTCCAGGTTCATCCATGTCCCTACAAAGGACACAAACTCATAGTTTTTGATGGCTGCATAATATTCCATGGTGTATATGTGCCTCATTTTCCCTATCCAATCTATCGTCGATGGGCATTTGGGTTGGTTCCAGTTCTTTGCTATTGTAAACAGTGCTGCAATGAACATTCGTGTGCATGTGTCCTTACAGTAGAACGATTTGTAATCCTTTGGATATATACCCAGTAATGGGATTGCTGGGTCAAATGGAATAAAAAATTTTTGCAGTTTACCCATCTGACAAAGGGCTGATATCCAGAATTTACAAAGAACTAAAACAGATTTACAGGAAAAAAACTAACAAGCCCACTCAAAAGTGGGCAAAGGATACGAACAGACACTTTACAAAAGAAGACATACATGAGGCCAACAAACATATGAAAAAATGCTCATCATCACTGGTCATCAGAGAAATGCAAATCAAAACTACATTGTGATACCATCTCACGCCAGTTAGAATGGCGATCATTAAAAAATCTGGAGACAACAGATGCTAGAGAGGATGTGGAGAAATAGGAACATTTTTGCACTGTTGGTGGGAGTGTAAATTAGTTCAACCATTGTGGAAGACAGTGTGGTGATTCCTCAAGGTCCTAGAAATAGAAATTCCATTTGACTTATTCTCTTTATATCTCAGTTTTATCCCCTTTACAATAGTACCCACATCAAGAGATGGTAACAATTAAATGAGTTAATCCATATGGAATACCTAGAACAGAGCTTACAACATGGAACACTACCAAAAAGTGCCAGCCATTGTTTTTAAGTTGAAATGGGAAAGCCATTTAAAATTAGTCTTAGTTATTATAATACACCAATTAAAAACAAAAGGATACAATCCCATACATTTTAATATAAAATTAGTAGGAAGACTTTAAGTTTCAGGCTTTTCATGTATAATTCTATTTTATTTACACAAAGTAATGACTTTGTGAGGGTAAAATTTGTGCAGAAGTCTAATAGATGCAACATTATTTTCTTATGCTGTTGTAAACCAGGAGAAAAAAGAGTCCATGGCCCTCCTGCTAAGTTTAGACTAGACGCTTTTCGTGAATAGTCACGTATTTCTTCATTAAACTGTTTTTTAATGGCCCTTTTGATGACTGCCAGTTTCCTCCACAATAAAAGAAGTTCTGATCTGTGAATTCATTTTTTCAATCCAGTAATAATTTTGAATACATTAACTAAGCATCATGGACCAAATAAGGAGCCAATTAGTTGTATTTTCCATCATTGAATAAAATAAGAATGAATCAATTTCATCACTAAACTTAAAAGGTTGTCATCATTGGCAAAGAAGTCTATTTTGTTCTGCCAACTCAAGTTCCTTTTGGGGAGTAAGGAAAGTTAGGTTATCTGTGACCTGAAACCAACTGAGTTTCATTTTCCTTTTTCCTTTGGGAAGGCTAGTCAAGGGAGCTCGTACCATTCTGCAGTAGCACTACACATAAAATTACTTTAAAAACTTCTTACTTAAAACACTAACTAAAAATTATGGCCCTACATGGTATTTATTTTCATAAGTAGATGTTATTTACTTTTCCTTCTTTATTTATTCTTTATTTTCCTTTCTCACTCACCTAGATATTGGGATGATGTGATGAATGCATCTATTCACCATGCTACCCTCTTTGGTAACTAGACCTCACAGATAATTAACTCATCAACTAGTTACAACAAGCCAGAAAAGAGACAACCATGAGTGAGTCTGTAATCTTAGTGCAAACACTCTCCAACCATGTTTGTTTTTTGTGAAAGTACATCCTTCTCCCTCAAGCATTGAGTTTTTGGTAGAGATTAGCTTTAAAATATTGCAAGAAACACACACACCAAACACATCACCATTGTGTGCCTCTTGAGTTAGTGGGTACATCAAATTTAATAAGAAATATGGTTCATCCTATGGATGCATATTGGAAAAGGACATCTCATTTTCGGCATTTTCATGTGCACTTTTGTGGGAGGGTGGTTTCAAAGGAGAAAATGAAATACAACTTTTAACTTGAAATGTGTCACTAAAGCTTAGGAGATTTTTATATTATAAAATTAAAAATATAATTGGGATGCATTAGTTATTTACAATCAAATGTTTAAATGCATATGCAGTATATTTTTTCCTCTTAAAATTGTATCTTTAGAGTCAGATAGCCTTTCATTTTCCTAATTATTTGCTTATGTTGCTGCTACTATAATGCATAAAGCTCTAATTTTAAATATCCTGAATTGAAAATATTTCTATAGTTGTTGCTTTTGTAGGATTCACTTTTAAAGAAAGTAGAGGAACAAGGCATTTAATTATACAAAGTAAAGATAAGTAATAAGCAATTTTATGTTTAAAAGCTGCTAATTAACTGGGCAGCAATTAAAGAGACTACAAAAATCTTAGTTTTAATACTCACATGCTTTTATTATGAATATTTGTTCTGGTGCATATTTTTCTGTCAGACTAAGTCTCCAAGTATAAAATGGGCTCCTGCCAAGTCTCTAAAAATCAATTGTTGAAAAATTTTAATTGTAAGAAAGTAAACAAAGAGTAAGTTGAAGCAATGCAGAGTTCTAATGAGTTAATATAACAAAATTCAAGCAAAATCAACTGTCTTTAAAGCCAGCAAGCTCAGCTCTTGACAGTCATCCATCAAACTGAAGGTTTCCTTAATAAATGCCAATTGCAGAGCATATATGCACAAACATGGCTAGCATAAGCCATAGGATCATTTCCTTCCGAGAAAATTAGTAACCAAGAAAACACCCAGACAGTGCAAACGACTAGCCCACCCGACAGTAAGGTTTGTCCCTGATCAGAATACTAACCAGCAATATTTCTTTCTCACTCTCTCTCTCTCTTTTCAACTTAGGAAAAGTTCAGAACCACACAGAATTTTGTTTGGGGTTATACAAATTCCTTCACAATTTGTATAGAAGTCTAACATAACTTTTTAAAAGCCATGACATGCCCATAACGTATACAGAGTCTCTGACTTCCGCCGTAAGCGAGGCTTTTTCCTAACTTAATCATACTCAAATTTCACCCCTTTTAAAGATCCTGATTCAAAAATGTTCACTCATTCTCCACAGTCCACAAATTTATACCATCTCTTCCTGTGGTATTTTATGTGCATAAATTAAAAAAGAATGGCCTCCAATGAGGATTAAAAGGTTGGAAAAAATCAGACTTTCTAAATTTAGGTTCATTTTTCTTATTTTAATTCTCAAAATATGTGTGTTAACAAAACGTATATATATATATTATTCTACAGTCTTATGAAATTCCCATTCACATTAACCTTCCTACCTAGAGGAAGTGCTGTAGCAATTCAGATAGGAAGTTTCATCCTAAGTTAAAGACCATTTCACCATGTAACCCAGCATGGGTTATATGTGAGAAATACATACAGGCGAACTCTTGAGAAATATCTAAAATATGTTCCACTGGTACCTTATTAGCTCTGACTATAGAAGGGACACTACTATATGAATTCCAATTTTCAAAAACATTTCTGCTGCCTTTTTCATTTTCCACCTGCTCAGGCAATGAGCCCAACAGCAAACAGGTTTCTCAAAGCCATTTGATGACATCAGGGGAGGGGAGGAGACTGTCTTAGAGAGTAAGGCCACGGATCTTTTGTCCAGAAGCCAAAGGCTCAAATTTTATACAACACCATTACTTCTTTAATGGGAATAGGTGGGTTTTCAAAAAGAAGGTCTGTGTCCTCCTATGATGATGAAGATAATTAATGGAGTAAATGAAAACTTTCATGTTTGATATTTTTATACAAATGGATTAAAATAGTCTGCTTTAGCCCCAAGTTGATGTCTTATTTAATTGCCCTTTAAAGTGACATCTTCCATCACACATGTGGACCCGTGCTAAATTCATTTATTTCCATCTTGCCTGAAATTATGATGAATGGTCTAAGCTCCATTCAATTATTTAAAATGTGCAAAGAAACAGAAACAATGAAACTGGCAAACCCCTCTACATTCTTAGGAACAATTTAGGCTAATTAGCATCAACTTCTCCCCCATTCATCATGCCCCTTTAGAAATATAAACAAACTGTCAGCTGTAACTTAACAAACAGATCACTGAGCTACTTAACACAAATTATTCTTACATGAAAAGCTCCTTCTCAGGCAATATTACTCCTTTAGGGCATCTGGGAAGCTGAGCTATTAAAATTGAAGACATATGTTCCAGTCAAACTCAACTCATGGATTGTAATGATTGCTGTTGTGACAGTTTTCAGTCAGCATATTTGCTGCTGGCAACACAGCGCCAAGCTTGAGCAAAGCAAAAGTCAAACGGAATGATGCAAGCAGGACCCTGGATGTGGAGGATGCCTCCTCACACTTCCCATCCCCATGTAGTTGTTGGATTTGCTGTTGCAGCTCAAAGTTGTGCTTAGTTTGGCTTGAGGACAATAAACGGGAGGAAGGTAACAAAGGTGGTCTGTGACAAGACTGTGGATTTCAACATGTGTTATTTTTCACTACATCCTATGAGGCTACTGCTACTTAGCTTTCAATATTTCATTGAAGCCAATAAACCCTGGCTTGTCATTTCAGAGAAGGTAGAAAAGATACAGTTAGAAGGGTCCCAGTTGAGAAAAACAGCTTTCCAATAGATTAGGTATATCTCCTCAAACAGTACTTGAAAACTGAGTTCTTTCCTTTCAACTAAGAGGAATGAAAACAATGTGTTTACCCCTTTACATAATAGACCTCTGTGGTTAAAGCCCTGTCCTGATATTAAACCAAGATAGCTTTTTCTTTATTGTTTAAATATAGTCACATGTACAGTTGATTCTAATTATCTGCACTAGTTATGTCCAATAAAGCTGTGGTGAACACTGCATTAGCCAACACTGAACCCACTGCTCCTAGAGAAAAAAAGAGTTAAGTTCCTATGTGTTTCTGGTCACTACATTTTCACCAATCAATCAATATATAATCTCACTTTATGTGTGTTTCTGTTAAAGACACCTTACTTAATATATACTTTTGATTTATTAACATAGAAGTCACAACCAATGGCACTATAACTCAAGCCTGAATAAAGCTTACCTGACACACAGATTTTCTCATACGGTACATCTTGCCTTTAGAAACCATAGACAACACTTCTACACAATGGCTTGGGCACCATTTTAAACAGTAAAATCAGGAACAAAAAAGCCCCAACACATAGCACTAAGTGGACTGCAAAAAGGACCTTGTTTACAGTATGACAACTGAAACATGAAGGCAGAGTATCACCTTGTTTAGCTGGGAACATGTGCATTAGATGATGCAAATTTTCCATCACTGCACATGTCTGTGAATGACTGAAAAAGAACCATGAGTATTGATTTGGGGGTTACAAATAAATTTTACCAAGTAGGCAAATTTACAAATATGATATCTGCAAACAATGAGGATCAACTGTGTGTACATTCATACATATTTTCTCCTTTTTGACTTCCCATTGAATGCCTCTGAGTTATTACCTTCAGTAAAGCAAGGGTTGGCTGGGCGCAGTGGCTCACATCTGTAATCCCAGCACTTTGGGAGGCCAAGGCAGGCAGATCACTTGAGTTCAGGAGATAGAGACCAGTCTGGGCAACATGGCAGAAGCCTGTCTCTAAAATGTACAAAAATTAGCCAGGCATGATGGTGCATGCTCATAGTCCCAGCTACATGGGAGGCTGAGGTAGGTGGATCATCTGAGCGTGGGATGTGGAAGTTTCAGTGAGCCGATATTGTGCCATTGTACTCCACCATGGGTGACAGAGAAAGACCCTGTCTCTTATTATTATTATTATTTTAAAATAAAGCAAGGGTTGTATTCTGAAAGCCCAGCGAAGCCTTCAGAAGCAACTATAAAGTAGGTGGCCATAGAATTCCTTGTAATATGGTAAGCCAAAAAGCCCTTCAAATATGTTCCTTTTTTTTAGCGTCCTAGAAATATAAACCTTAATGGCACCTATAGCTACTGCAGTAATAGTGTGAATGCACAATACAGTCCACCCTACACAGTGCCATGTCTATATCCTATTGAAGCACTTGGATTACTGTTATTTGCTGTAGTGGACAGTGGTTGTTGCTGGCATCAATCTCCTCCCTCCTCCTACCTACCTAGGCCTCCGACTTCCCCCCAGTGTTGTTTAAGTAGGGTTGTTTCTCGAGGTGGATTATTGGCTTTTAAGCCAATTTGTATATGTCATTCCTAAGCCACAGGGATTCTTTTAGGGATGAGCCCATGACTCTGTCTGGGCCAATGACATATAAGGAGATATTTGCTGAGCATTTCTGGAAAGAAATGGTTCCTCTCTGGGAGAACCATGAGCCAGCTTCAGGAGGGTGCAGGCACTATGAAAAGCGGGGCAGAAAAATTAAAGGAAAATGGGTCCTGGCTGATATTGCCGAGCTACTGAAAAAACACTCAAATTCATCCCACTTTTTTTTCATTTTTCAATTAAATAGATAATAAATATAGCCTTCATTATTTAAGGCAACATGGGTGAAGTTCTGTTTTTCTTGTACCCAAGAGAATTCTGATATATTTAAATGTTAGTTTTACTGCCTGTTCCTAACATTTACACGCACGCGCGCACACACACACACACACACACACGCACACACATATACTTGGGGGGGAGAGAGAGAGAATTCCTTGAATTATCTTTTGTTCATATTTTTTAAATGTTCTACTTCCTGGTATCATGACTGATGTATATATAGCAACTATTGATAAATATACTGAATTCAATTAGTTTAGGGTGGAACATCTTCCATGGATGTAAAATAATAAACAGCGTACCACATTAACCAGAGCATGATTAGCCAAGATGGCTGCTATCGTATTGCTGCCCCACTGATGAGAACAAAGTTCTCATTATATTTACCTTAAATATAAAATGTTTCAAGGTTAAAAGGTTAATATATCCAATCAAGGACGATTTTTTAGTTTATCAAATAAAATTACAAAGATAACACGATCTTTTCTCCTCCTCACCCCACAATGAAGAATAATTTATGAATACCTTTTCTTTAGCATCCTTAACTCCAGTTTTTCTGGATTAGGATAATGAATAGACCTGAATGTTACCCAAGCTTCATTCATAAATATAAAGTAATATGGCAATTTTTTAAAGTTTCTGCCTAGTCTTTTCTTTCTCTGTGGGTGGTTTTCACAGCCATGATTATTTGTAAACGCAAAACTGTGTGTATAATAAATTGCAACTGCAATTGACTAACCTCAGAAGACTGACACGTGACTAATTACTCCCACAGGTGGCCAACTGCTTTGGCAATTAGCCCATTGTGGGCAAAATTCATTGCATGTAAGAAAGAGGCTTCCTTTTCAAAATATTCACACCTACTTTTTGGAGGATGAATGGAGGGGAGACAACTTATAGGAAAAAAGTGAAGGGAGGATGAAGGGATAAGGGACAGATGGAAAAATTAATTATTTCTTTAACAAACCATTTAATCTGAATTTCTCCC